ACCCTAGTTGTCTATGGCTGGTGACTCTTCTGACTGGTTGTTGTATCTGGTCTGATTGGTCAGTGCTTTCGTCATATTAGTTATTGAATACTTAGAGTACCAACACTGTGGCTCCAGGAAATGAAGTCTAGCTGTATTCCAAGGAGGAAAGAAAAATGGGTTGCCACCATTACTATTTTTTAGACAAGAAAGATGAGGCCCAAAGACGTTTAATTCCTTTCTTAGGATCTTACAGTCAGTGAATTGTGGGTCTGGGATTACAACCCAGATCAGCCTCCTCCAGAGTCACATTCTTTGCTACTTATTATACTTCCTGTATACACTGCCAAGTCCTGTGTTTTTTAATTTTTTGTCAGTTTTATTGAGAAATAATTGACATACATCACTGTGTAAGTTTGTGTTCGCATGATGCTTTGATATACATAATTGTGAAATGATGATCACAGTAGGTTTAGTTAACATCCATCATCTCGTATAGATACAATTTAAAAAAAAGAAAAAAATTCTTCTTGCGACGAGAACCCTTAGGATCTACTCTTAACGACTTTCCTATATATCACACAGGAGTGTCAGCTATATAGTCACCATGCTGTGCATTACAGCCCTAGTGCTTATTTATCTCATAACTGAAAGTTTGTGTCTGTTGAGCACCTTCCTCCAAGTCCGGTTTTTGAGTCTTCACTTGAAACATCACCATGATCGGCCTTGTATTCCTTTCCGAGTCCTCCTGGACCGTGCACCTTCAGCCACTCACTCTCCCAGCTTCAGCGTCTCCATCTTTGCACATCTCTCCCTCTTCCCAGCCTAAGAACTTACCTAAGTCTCTTTCACCTCTAGCTTTTTTCTTCCTACACCACCCCCGACCCTGCCTCAATACACACACATACTGGAATCTACCTTCTGCCATCACCATGCACCTGAAACCACTTCAGTAAATCAGGGATTCTTAACCATCCCACTCTAAATGTGTTTATAATTTATAAGAACTAATTACCAGGTCCTGTACATATCTTAATTCATTCACTCCTCAAAAAAAAAAAAAAAAAAACCATGAAGATACTATTCTACATTTAACAGAGGAGGAAACTGAAGCTCAGAAAGGTTATATGACCCTGGCTTGCTCAGGAGCACAGAGCAATTAAGGAGCAGAGCTAGACTGGAATCAAGGTTGCATTCCTGTCAAGTGAAATGTTCCTGCCACTCCACTACAAGGCCGCCATTCAGCCCACATTGACCCCTCTTTGCCAAGGGCTCTCAGGGAGACTGAAATGCCAAGCTAGAGACCCTATCAACAACAAAGAAGTCAAACACCTTTTTTGTGAGGGAGGGGATAAGACTTGAGGGCAAACTTCTGCTAGGGGCTAGCCCTTGTCTTAGACCACCTCTCCCCGAATAGTCCATCTTTCTCAGACAGGTGGCGGAGGCTTGGTAGTGAAAGACACCGAGCCAGAAGCAAGGTCTGGGGATGCAGGGCTTCACCCAACCCATCTCTTCTTATGCTTCTCCTCTCTCTCCTCCACCCTGGGGAGCATTTTCCTTTCTAGAACTAATGCAAGTGAGTGGAGAGAGGCTGGCTTGACCGCAGACCAGAAAGGATGTCCATATTTTATTTTTAGTTGCATGAATATCCTGGTGTGGGACCCACAGCACTCACTACATCACTGTACATGGGCTCCCCAGGCACGCAATATGATTGCTGGCAGCTTGCTTCTCTGCAGCTAGAGAAGTTAACATGCAGAGCAATTTTATTGAAACGTGTCTGCACATTGTATCTACAGTTGCATTGTTGCCACATGCAGCGACCTTCATAAATGGCTTTGGGAAAGTCACAAGGGAATAACAGAGGTAGTTGGTGTTTTTTTCTCTTCCTTTATTAGAGTCTGCTCTGATTTGCTAGACAAAGTTTTGCAATCACCAGGAAATGTACTCTGTGCTCCCACATGCTCCCCAAATGCAAACAAGTAGGTCAACAACCCCAGTGTTGTAATGTTTCAGCCTGAAATCTGCTTGGATTACCCAGCAGGGCCATTTGTCCTTTTGGAATAAGCAAATAGCGCATGGCAGCAGGAA